TATTATTATTTTATGTGTGTACCATCAAATTGGATCTGACTGGTACAGGAGGCGTTTGTTCCTCCTTCTTCAGGAGAGCATCTGGTGGATTTGAACCATGATCCCAGCTTCTAGTAACACTAGGATAAGGTGTAACTGCCCAATGGAGTTTTCAAGGCTGTTTATATTTAAGGAAGCAGAAGCAAACTCCCTCATTTTCTCTCTCTAAGCAGCTAGCATATTCGAAGTGTTGACTTTTTTGTTGCTGTTGATAAAGCACCTTACTTTAACCACAGTATTGCCAGAACTACCAGGAGACAATCATTGTTAAAATTTGGGTTCTGTGGTCAAGTCAGACTGCCCACTGACTCCTCAGCAGGTTTTGAGAGGCTATAGATCTCAGAGGGAGGAGACTGCCCATCTTTCTCCCTCATAGCAGCTTTTGGATTTGAACCACAAGCCTTTGGGTTGATGGTGTAACTCCTTGCCACTAGGCCTTGGACTTTTTAATACTTCCTCAGTAAGTTGTCTAAGTGAATTGTATAATTTTCTTTCTTTTTTTTTAACTCTTTTTTTTTTTGAGACAGCAGCTGGCTGCCCTATCTATCTATCTATCTATCTATCTATCTATCTATCTATCTATTTTATGTGTGTACCGTCAAATTGGATCTGACTGGTACAGGAGGAGATTGTTTCTCCTTCTTCAGCAGAGCATCTGGTGGATTTGAACTGCATACCTCTGGGATTGCAGTGCAGTTTCCTGCCACTAGGCCACCAGAGCTCACCATAATTTTCTTTTTACTTGAGTGCATCATGTATAAATTTTTTGTAAAAGAACACTTTACAATCAACACTCTTGGTACCAGCAGCCAGGAAATTAAAAGACAAATTACACTGGGAAAGTCTGCTGTCAGGGACCTCTCCAAAGTACTGAAGAGCAACGATGTCAGTCTGGAGACTAAGGTGCACCTGATCCAGGCCACAGTCTTTGCAATTACTTGCTATGCATCAGAGAGCTGGACAATGACAAGGGATGATAGAAGGAGAATTGATGCCTTTGAGCTGTGGTGTTGGAGAAGAGTATTGAATATACCATGGCCTGCTAAGAGAACAAACAGGTTCATCCCGGAGAGGGTGAAGCCAGGCTGCTCCTTGGAGGCAAGGATTCTGAAGCTCCGTCTGACATACTTTGGACATGTTGCAAGGAGGGACCAGTCCTTGGAGAGGGACGTCATGCTTGAGAGAGTGGAGGGACAGCGCAGGAGAGGAAGA